TCTATCTTCTGGGGATATGAGGGGACCACTCCCCCTCCTAAATAAAAGGTACCAAAACAAAACAAAATACAACTTACCCAACTTTTTTGTTTTCTTTGTTTTCGGGTTAATAGTTGATTTTTATTTATTTCCTTTGTGTGTGTTTTAAGATTTTATTTATTCATTTTTGAGAGAGATGGAGCGTACAAGCAGTGGGGAAGGGCAGAGGAGAAGCAGACTCCCGGCTGAGCAGGGAGCCTAATGTAGGGCTCAATCCCAGGACCCTGAGATCATGACCCCAGCTGAAGGCAGAGGTTCAACTGAATTGTTTTGTTGTACATCCCTCCTCTTCCCCAAAAGAATTTCAGGTGTTTGAGTTTGGTGAGTTTTTACACCAAAACTCAATACATGAGTATTAATGGAACATGCAAGCAAAACACTCTTGAAGGTAGCTTCATTGGAAGAAATATAAAAGATAAAAGGTACAATGTCTGTCTTTGTAGAATTTAATATATACTTGGAAAGAGAAAATGCTCTCCCTGAGGTGAGAAAACCATGGAAAGACAGCTCATATAAATCAAATACTTCATGGTATAGTATGGCAAGTGGCTTCCAGATATTTTTGGCTTGCAACCACAATGAGAAATGGACTATACAACATGACTCTGTATGTATATACATATTTGTGTGTGTGCATGTAAGCTAAATTTTACAAAAATAATATGTTTTACAAAACAATACTTAATTGCTATACAGAATACATTCTGATATTTTCTTTTTCTGTTCCAGTTTTCAAAAAATGCTGGTGGAAACCCTCTGAACTGATCTCACAATCTGCTAAGAGAATATGACCCCCATTTTGGAAAACATTGGTATAGCCAGGTGGTGAGCACACAGAGGTGTAAAGTAAAAGAGTATTCAATTGTATGAGTCCAGAGATATCTGTCCAGGAAAAGATAATTGATATATCTCTTGAAAGAAGTGTCCTATTTAGAATATTGGGTCCACGACAGTGTTGGTGCTGAGTTGGGACAATTGTATGAGCGAAGAAGGCACAGAAGTTAGAGCAAGCAGCAAGTTCAAGGATCACTGAAGAACAGAATTCTGTTATACGACTGCTTTTGTAGATTATGGAAATAATATAAAAGTCAAACTGAAGGCCTGAAAACAGATTATGAGGATACATATTTGAGAAAAATATTAATATTGATAATTGGGAATAGTTTAATAGGAGAGCAGATCTATGGCATTTAATAATTCATACCATTATTTGCATTAGTATTCCCTTTTGTCAAAATTCTTTGTAATCAGAATTATAACCATTCCTCAAAGTGAACCTCTGGGCACAGGAGAGGCTATTTCTAGAAGAAGAAACTGGTACATAGAGATAATAGGCATTGTTCAAGGTATATTTACTTGAAGTGACTTTAGCAGATCAGGCTAATTCTAGCCCAAAGGACTTAGTTGACCCCAAGAGTTTAGAAGACAGGTACACATGTCAAGCAAAAATGCAAACAGAAAAAGAACACTGAAACAATGACCACTTATTCTGATCCAGCCCTGAAGATTGGCTTGTCCCTTTTCTCAAGGGTATAAATTGTTTACCTTTGATGACCTGGATTGTTGATGTGTTTTACTCAGTTTTGTGAAGACCTGGGTATGGAGTGGGTGATGAACCTTGGGGGAAGGAAACCCTGGGTATAGGTATACTTTTTTTGAAATTTATTTCAATGTGCATGGGTTAATCAGAGAAATTAAAGAAAGGGAATCCAAGTGTGGATGTATAGAGCATAGGGGCTCCCATGGTTTCCTAGAGCTCTTCATATTTCCTTCTGGAAGCATCTGAGGGGAGGGCTTTGTGTCACCATCCATCTTTTGCTCTTTAGACAGGCTTTCTCCCTTTCTCCTTCAGAAATGGTGTGAAAAGGGAAAGATAAAAGGGCTGGGATTCCAAGGAAATTCCACATGTTGTATGGAAGTAGGAAATGGAGTCCTTAACCTTATCTAAAAATTTTGTTCCCAATATCTTCATTTTACTACTTTTTTTTTCAGCAATAAAATTGGAACCGTTGCCTCTGCATCAAATTTGACTAAGGCTAAAAATAGATGAGCAAGGTTAAGCATGGAAGAAGTGGCCCAGCTTCTCCTTCCTCCTTTTGATTTTGTTTTAGTTTGAATGAGAAGGAGGTGGCTTACACAATGAACAAGAACAACACCTGGCTGGGTGACTGTGTGCTTTGAGCCAGTTATGATATTTTTGTGGGAAAGCTTCCAATTCTGAAGTCTCAGTTATGTAGAGGTAGGAGGCAGCTGGTGTGAATATCTGTCTGCAGGGTACATGCACACTTACTCTGATCCAATATGACATGACAGCAATGTGCTTATTCAAGAAAATAGTTATCTCAATTTTCTTGTATTCTAACATAAAACTTCTTCATTCTCCCCACTCAAAAAAGAAAGAAAGAAAGGCCAAAGCCAAGGTCACCAAAATACTGTGAGATCTCTCAGCCGCCTCTAGTGAAGGATCCCAGTAATGAAATTAAGCTAAGTCTGAACTGGCCACATTAACTCATTAGCTTTGTCCCCAGCTCCTCCATCCTCTCCCTGAAGTCTCCATTTAATTAACCACCGGCAGCATTTCCTCCAGTTTTTAGAATTTTTTGACTTCACAGGTCCAGGTGGTGACCAAATCCTGCTGCATATACCTTCAAAGCATTTGTCCATTCATTTATTCATGTACTTGTCATGCATTAATAAATACTTACTGAGTACCATGCACTGTGCTAGGCACCAAGGATACAGCGATGACGAAGAAAGACAGTTTCTGCTGTTACAGGGCTGCTAGTCCAGTGGGGGCCGAGACAGACAAATACACAGGCATTTTCAATACCTTTGTGTGCAAGCTGTTTGGTTGGGGAAGGTACAGGGAGCCCAGGGGCAAATCTAGCCTCGGGCTATCAGAGGAGGCTTCCTAGAGAATTGATGATTTAGTTGAGACTTTAAGATTCAGAAAGATGTAGCCAGAAGAAGAGTGCATTTGACATTCCCCATTCAACAGATTTTTACTGACTGCTTTCTGTGGGTCAGGCTTTCTGCTAGACTCTGCAGAGTTAGGTAGAAAGATAGACTCAATCCCTGCTCTTCTAGTGCTCAGAGGAAGTCAGGGTGGGGTAGAAATATATGTGAAAATATAGGCACAAAGTATGTATCTATTTAATGTAACCATCAATATATACTCCGGAAATTAAACGGTTCATCACTTTCCTGCTGGAAAGTCCAACCAGCAATTGCTCCTGAGTATCCAGGCTCCTCCCAGTAGCTCCAACCTCTGCTATGGACTCTGCTCCCAGTCCATTAGGTGAGGAGCATGGGGAGGGTTCTCCCCCCTGTGCTTCCTTGCCTGTCTCTTTAAGCTTTAGAGCCTTTACTGAAGAGCTGGGTTAATTAAAGAAGATTACACTATAGGAGGGGAAAACTGTTAATTGTCAGCTAAAATAGTTTTCCTCCATAGTTCATGGGAAAAAGAACCTAATTTTTTATTTATTTATTTTTTTAAAGATTTTATTTATTTATTTGAGAGAGAGAGAATGAGAGACAGAGAGCACGAGAGGGAAGAGGGTCAGAGAGAGAAGCAGACTCCCCGCTGAGCAGGGAGCCCGACGTGGGACTCGATCCCGGGACTCCAGGATCATGACCAGAGCCGAAGGCAGTCGCTTAACCAACTGAGCCACCCAGGCGCCCAAGAACCTAATTTATACACTCAACAAATACAAGCTAGCTGTTGTTCCCTGAGGTGCCCAACACTGATAGAATCTACTACCTATGGAGCTTTCATGTGAGCGAGAAGGAGATAGATAGGAAATAAGTAAACATGTACATTGACAACTTAATGAGAGATACTTTGATAGCTCCTCCGGGAAGGTGTTTCTGTTACATCCTGAAGGGAGTGTGTTTGATCTGGGACCTGAGGTTGGGAAGGAGCTGGTCTGTGAAAAGATAGAAAAAAGTTGCAGAAATGGGAGCCCATGTAAAACTCTCCCCAGGGGTCTGTCTCCTGCCCTCACATCATTGCTTCTCTTCACAGGTGTCACATTCTAATCCGAGCCTGCTCACGACGCAGCCATCGCTCTTTCAGGGCAGCTCAGCCCTATCCATGGGGGTTGCGTTTTCCCCCCACTTGCTTCGTGATCACAGGCAACACTGAGTTTTATCCCCGGATGGTGGGTACTGTTTGTACGAACTACTTTCACCACCACACTGTGCCGGCTTCTCATTCATTCCCATTGTCTGGGAACTCAATCTTATTTCTGCAATTACTGAACCTAAAACTGATCTTGAAGGGTGAGGTGTTTTGGTGGATTATTAATCCGAAATCCTTTGTTTTCACTTCTTGTTCTAGTCACCCGCCTATTTTTCCGGACCATATTGTTCTAAGCCTCAATCTCATGAAGGTCAGGAGGCCACCGAATAACTACTTGCGACGCCACCGGATTGGCTTAGAGGGCCACTTCACGAAGCTCGCCTCGCAGATGCCCAGTAGCTCCGCGGGCCCGCCGTGAGGGCGCCAGGATGACGTCACTCGAAAGTGGCCGTCTCAGCGGGGGCGTGACGTCACGCGGGCGGGCCAGTCAGCCGTGAGGTCACTCGGTAGGCGTGGCCAGGCCGAATCCCCAGTGTCGTCACGGGCGGGGGCGGGGCCAGAGCGTGTCAGCGAAGCCGAATCAAAACAAGCCGGAGACCCGCCTTTTCCCTCCGGCTCGGGAGCGTCTCGCTCGCGTCCCGAGCCCGCGGCGCTCGCGCGGCTGCGAGCCTCGGGTGGCCGCGCGCCGGCTCCAGGAAGCCGGAGAGGGCGCGGCGGCCGGGATGGCGCGGCGCGGGCCGCGCGGCTAGACGGGCGCCGGAGGAGCCGCCGGCCCGCGCCCTCCATTCTCTTCCTCCCGGAGCCGGCTCCGCGCGGGCCGGGAGCGGCCGTGCGGCGGGGAGCCGCCTTCGCTGACGCCGGGCACCTGGACGCTCGCGAGATGCCCAACCCCAAAAACAGCAAAGGTGGCCGCAAAAACAAGCGCGCCAACAGCAGCGGGGACGAGCAGGAAAATGGAGCCGGGGCCCTGGCAGCGGCGGGCGCGGCGGGCGCGGCGGCCGGGGGGGGCCTGGCGGCGGCGGCCGGCTGCGGAGCGCCGGCGGCGGGAGCGCCGGGCACCGGGGGTGCGGCGGGCACCGGAGGCGCGGGGACTGGCACCGCCAACGCCGCGGCCGCCGCGGGGGCTGCAGCCGCGGGTGACGCCAAGAACGGTAAGACGGGGCTGGCGGGGCGTGCGCCAACTTCCTCCCCGACGGGGACGGCGCGGTGGCGGGGCCCGGGGCGGCGCGGGCGGTGCGTGGACAATGCGAGAGTCAGGAAGTGCTCACCCCGCCTCTCCGCCCCGCGGAGGCTGCCCCTTCCCGGTCCCCACGCCTGGCGGCGACGACGGATCCGCGGCCCCTTCCCGGGGTCTGCGCCGCTCCCCGGCCGCGCGCCCGGGGTCGGCTGCGCCTCCGACTCCGAGGGGCGCCCGGGTGCTCGGCGGCGGCCGTGCTCCCCTCGGGGCCTGCCCGTGCTGGCGGGGCCGAGTGTGTGCCCCGGGCCGTGGGGGAAGGGGGTAAGGGGCGGGGGGGAGGAAAGAGCTGCCCAAGTTGAAAAGAATGATCCAATTGGAAACTTAGACACCAGCTCATTCTTCCCTGTGTCCCCCTCACCCCCTCGTCTTTCCTCTCGAGTGAGGAAGAGCCTTAAATCCCAGCAAATCCAGGCTTGCCGCAGCAATTGCCACAGGTGAAGAGGCCCCGAGACATTTTTACTATAGGGCGTGTGTGTGCGTGCTTGTGCGCGCGCGCGCTCTTTAATTCTCTTGCTCGCTTTTGAGGAAGGAAGAGAATCTGAACTTGACTTCCGTTCTCAGACCGGAGTTAAAAAAAAAAAAATCATCCTCTATACGATTCTGTTTCACAGTTTTAAAAGGAAGCCTACTAATCTTAGGTAGTGCCTGAATGCACCTTTGTCGGGGTACTTAGGGAATAGTGAAGATGTGACAGGATTGCCGTTGTCACTACAGAAACATGGTTTTCGTTACAGGGTGCTAGGCAAACACTTTTTTCTTACTTGGACAGTTCTTTGCATTCCTCTGGTCAGGCAGTTTTTCAGGGAAGGTAATAGAGGTATAATTTAATGAAGGGAGATAAGGATCTTTATATCTGGCTTTTAACTTGTAGCTTTTCAGCTTTTGAAGCCATTCTTTATGCAGATCGCTTTTTAAACGGGCACCTGCACTTAAAGAACCCCACAGTGCTCTGAACATAGAAGATTGAAGTGTGCCTGTTAAGAACAGAACCATAGGGCCCCGTTGGCTGTCTCTGCAATATTGAAATAAGAAGGTTTTTCTTTTTTCCAGGAACAGACATCCTGGTTTTGAATGTGTGATAATACGGTTTTTGGCCAGGCTATCTTCTCCATGTTCTTTTGTTTTCCAAGCGCTAAACTTCATTTTGGTATTGATGTGGCAGAGGGGAAGGAAGACAGACTTGGTGGCTCAGCTCTTTAGAGCTCTGCCTTCTTAGGAAGGTTGGTCTTTCTCAGATCTGATTTCCTTGCCTTTAAAATTGGAAAAAAAAAATATATATGTTACATTGGCTCAGTCATAAGGTTATTGTGAGGCTTGGAGTGTCACTTTCTTGCCCAGTTCCCAGTTCTTGTTTTAAAGTCTTGTTATATTTCTAACATGCTTAGTAAAGTTCCTCAAGAAAAGTGATCAATGAATGATAGCTGTCATTCACTCCTTCAAAAAATATTAAGCACTTACAGTGTTACCACTACTGTGCTAAGTATTAAAGGGTACAGTGGTAATCAAGAGAGGACATCCTGGTCCTCATGGAGCTTGCATTCCAGTTCTGGTGGTGGTCTGGCTTACCCTTTTTTTGTGTGTGTGTATGTGTCTGTGTCTGTATGGAAGCTTCAAGTTGTCTGTTTCCTTTTTCTTCAAAAGATTAGATTACTTTCACTGATCTCTGAAACTAATAATGCACTCTCTGCTAATTAATTGAATATAAATAAAAAAATGTTTAAAAAATTAGACCACTTTAAGGTGGCGTGAAGAAATTTTTTTTCTTAGGCTGGTAATACCTCCTCCTTTGTAAACTTCAAGCTGGTTATGCTGTCCCTGTTATTACTTTCCTCTGAAATGGCAAGCTCAGGTATATTTAACAGTTCTGTATATGTCTGTGTGAAGCTGTGCATTTCTGATTTGGAGCTTGTTTTATGAAATGAATGGGGAAAAGGGTGAAGAAATGGGCCAAACATTGCCATAGTCAGGGTTAGAGAAGGTACAAACTTTGATCAGTGAACTGTATTTTATGATGCTGCATTTGGTTCTGCCATGGTATGAAGTCTCAGTGAATGCTCCACCTTAATTTGAAGAACTTCGCACTGCAATTGCTAACTGAACATGGATGCTAAGGCCTACAGTGTGCAAAACTGATAAGTAAGGAAATTATAAATGCCTTTTTTTTTTTTTTTTTTTTTTGCCATTTAAAGCTGTGCTTTTTAATGTTGGGGTGGGAGAGATGACATGGGTGAATTTTAAAGGAAGGGGCAACAGATATGCAAACTCTCAAGAATCAACTGATAAGGCCCAATTATTTTTGAATTTTAGAATGACATCATTTGGACTAGTATAGTATTTCTTTTTTTTTTTTTTAAAGATTTATGTATTAGAGAGAGAGAGTAAGAGAGAATGAGCAGGGAGAACAGCAGCAGAGGGAGAGGGAGAAGCAGCCCCCCCCCCCACCAGCTGAGCAGGGAGTCCTATCTTTTTTTTTTTTTTTTTTTAAAGAATTTATTTGACAGAGCACAAGCAAGGAGAGCAGCAGGCAGAGGGAGAAGCAGGTTCCCCACTGAGCAGGGAGCCCGATGCGGGGCTCGATCCCAGGACTCTGGGATCATGACCTGAGCGGAAGGCAGACGCTTTAGGACTGAGCCACCCAGGCACCCCAGTTTTTTAAAGATTATTTACTTGAGAGAGAGCATGAGCAGGGTTGGGGGGGTCAGAGGGAGAGGGAGAAGCAGACTCCCCACTGAGCAGGGAGCCTGACAACACAGGATTTGATCCCAGGACCCCAAGATCATGACCTGGGCAGATGCTTAACTGCCTAACTGACTGAGCCACCCCTAGTATAGTATTTCTAAGTATATTTCAATTTTTTTTTTACTTAACTGTGACATTAGATTTTGCAGTTATGAATATTACAAATAAAATAATTCTAAGGATGTAATAAATCTGAATTCTCTTAAAATTTTAAAGGGTTCTCACTGTGCAACTCAGTTGTGATCTACATCTGCAAGCATGCCAATTTCATGAAGTTAATAGTAGTTGCAATTTGTACTTGTTTGGCGTTTATAGAATTGTTTTATGTCTTGTAGTTCTTGGGCATTATGGCCATCAGGGAAGGGTAATATGAGTTCTTAGTTGTTCACTGTTTGTCAGTAGGTATAAATAGCTGCTTATTCTATAAAAGAAGACTGCTAGTTAGGGAAAGCTGGGGAAGCTATGGTATGATTGTAGGTGAAGAAATTGAACTGGTTGCAGTTGAGTAAGATGAATATTAATTGTAAGGACTTTGTACTCCTAATAAGTTTATTAGTACATTTTTAGATACTGGTTTATGAAGCTTTTTGTAGGAATTGGAGTAAAAGATGAAGTGCTATCCTATTCCTACATAGTAAGCATCTGTGTACATACTGTAGCATTTTGATTGTAGGTAGACAAGATTTGCCAGTCATTATTTTTAGGATCTAGTAATCATGCAGTAGATTATAACTATGCAGTTTCATTCTGGAATTCTGTTTCCATTAGGCCACTGCTTTTTCGCCAAAGGCCTAAAAATATATGAACCCTTGATCATAGTACCTAGTTTTCAGTGGGCCTGAATCCCAAGTCCTTTTATTAATTCCTGTTTTATGAATGACCGTGGTTCACCACTCCACTCATTCCTGACTGCCACCAGAACCCCTGGGTAGCTGAATCTCCCTTTTAATCCGTTCAGCAACACTTTATAGTAAATGGAGCTAGTTTACATAGTGATTTGGTTGTGCATTTGGTAGGAGTAGATTCCCATCCTGGCTCCTCAAATTACTTGCCATATGATCTTGGGCAAGTCATTTGACTTCTCTGAGACTCAGTTTCTGCATATTTAAAATGGGATTATAACACCTACCCATAGATATACAGTAAGATCTATCATATAGTACAGATATACTGCTTATATATTATATATACATGTACAATGTTTGACTTATAATACGAGCTTATTAAGTGTTATTTGGCAGATTCTGGAAATAGTCTTTGAAACAGATTTTACATGTAGGAATTTTACTGGAAATGCCCTAGCTGGGCAGTGAGGGAAGCAGGATTGAACAGAGTGGGGAGGAGTTGAACTGCTGTGCAGTTAACAGCTGGGCCCTCTGGAGCTGGGATGGTCCTGCAGAGTTATCTCACCTTGAGGCATGGAAGCAGGACCTTTTAACTCGTTGTCCCCTGTTGACTGGTCATTTGGACATGGGCTGCTCCCAGAAAGAGGGTATGACCTGGGGAGTGGCATCTCTTAGCTGGTGAGCCTCTGGAGAGGCCCTCTATCTATAGTCATCAGAAGAAAAATGAAGAGTGTTTGCCTGCTGTTTATTTTCAAATCAAGGAATATTTATTGCAGGTCTGAGGTATGTTGAGTGTGATTGTCATCTTGGAAGACATTTTCTTGCCTTATTAGAAGTTAATTTTGTCAGGTCTTTAAAAATACCTGCTACTTTTGGACCTTGTCTTTTAAAATCCACTTTTGTAATGGGGATTGGTAGAAAATATTGCCTCATCCATCAAAGATTCATCTTGTGCACTTTTAAGAACTATTCTGTGTTCTGCTAATGGAGTTTTGTGCACAGTCCTTACTCGTTCTTTCTTGTTAGAGGACCTGAGTTTAAATTCTAGAAACTAAACCTTCAATGTCAGCTTTCCTGTAAGTCCAAGAATATATATCATTCCGTAGAGAATTGAAAACAGGAGATAAAACTGGGAAGTCTCTTGCAGCTTAGTCCTCCTATGAATTTACTCCAGGCTTAGCTATGAGCAATTTAAAAAACTTGAAGGCATCAAAAGGAAAACTTTAGGGAAAAAAAAAATCTGTTCTGATTGTTGCTCATGATGTCTTTGGCATTTTTAAGGGATTGATTTAATTAAACATGTTTTGTTATTTCATTATTTTAGCAGTAA